ACACTTCACATCATATGAAGATACCAAAAATTGGGTCGATTCATGGATAGCTTCAAAAGATAAAGCGTTTTTCCGACGCGGTATCCGTATGCTGCCAGAAAGATGGGAAAAAGTAGTGGCTAGCGATGGACAATACTCAAATAAAACATTAGGTACCGTTCTTTCACAATAAATGCCCAATTTTTGATTAAAAACGGCGGAAACTTATTTATACTCCTAATATGTAGAAAAGGTAGAAGCATATTGGAATGAGAATAGCTGAAATAAGATGTGATAATGGTCGTAAGTATGCGAATTCAAATGTACAGAATTGATGTAAAAGATGAGGAATTGAAGTAGATTTTACGATTCCTTGTTCACCTCAATTAAATGATAAAGCGGAGCGTTTAAATAGTATTATAATGAATAAAATAAGAGCATTAATTTTTTATTCAATATGAGAACAAAATGTGAAAAGAAGCTGCATACAATGGTGGCGATTTTTCTATTAAACAGGTCTCGAACATCTACAACTAAATGCACACCACTAGAGATGTGGGAACACATAAAATCAAAGTCTTTAGAGGCTTCAACTTTTTATATATGATGCATACGCCAAGATTCTTATACCATGAAAGAAATTGGATGAGCGTAGTAAAAAATATTTATTTGTTGGATATGCCCTAGTAGGATATAGAGTGGGATCATATTAGTAGAAAGATTATCATCGCAAGAGATGTTAAGTTTGGCCCAATGACTAAAGACGATAATAGAAAATGAATCCAAATTTCTTCAAAGAGAAATTAAAATAGGAGAGGAACAAGAAGAACAAATAGAATTTATTAATGTAGAATATAGTTTAAAAGAATCTATCTATCAAACGAAGAGGAATTTCAAGATACATTAGAAAAGAACTAAAAACGATGAAGACAATGAAGAGCAGAAGAATTAAGAAGTTTGTAAAGAAATTAGAAATGTCTTAATAAATATAACGATTATATTTTACTAACGTATTCCGAAGCTATTATTTCAGGTTCTGACTATGGAAGAGAGCAATGGAACAGGAGAAAAGTTCGCTTGAAACCAATAACATTTGGAAGTTGGTTAATCCAGAAGAAGTTAAAACGACAAAGCCACTTACTAGCAAATGATTGTTCAAGATTAAAAGGGATGGAAGATATAAGGCGCAATTAGTATTACGAAGATTTGAACAAAAATGTGGTCGATTTTGAGGAAATGTATAGTCTTGTTGTAAGTACCACTGCACTAAGAATTTTGTTTGCCTCAGTTACAATGAGAAAATATAAAATATTAAAACTGCTTTCCTCTACGGGAATTAAAAAAAAAACATCTATATGTACCTGTACATCTGTATATACCTGAAGGTTACAATCAGCAAAATAAAATTTGTAAGCTTAACAAAGCATTATGTAGTCTTAAACAAGATTTGCTTTCTTGAAATCAATCATTTTTTTAATTTCTTAAAAGGTAAAGGCTTTGAACAACTCTTAAATCTGAACTTTGTATATTCGTTAAAGAAAATTAATTAATATTAGGGATATTTGTTGATGATGGGATTTTAGTAGGTGAAAGTCAACAAGAGATGGATAAATTAGTTGAAGAATTAAAGGATGAATTTTAGGTTACTATTACAAAACCTTTCTAGAAATGGAAATAATCAGAAAAGAAGATAGATTGAAATTAAAACAAGAAAATTATTCTCTTAACATGTTGAAAAGGTATCGAATGAAAGATTCAAAATCAAATCCTCGACTCCTATGTAGATACCCTATCGATAAAACTTTGCAGACTGGAACAAGTTTATATTTCCTTACAGAAAAACAATTAGCAGCATTCTATATCTATCAACTAAAACTAGACCAGATCTAGCGTATTCTGTAGGATATGCAAGTCGATTCATCGAAAATTCCACCAGTGATAAAATCATTATCGTTTAACGGATATTCAAATATTTAAAAGAAAGTATAAATCAAGAGATAGCAAATAAGATTGAAGCTGAAAATTCAATTCGTGCCTACACGAATTCAGATTTTAAATCTCCTCAGACCTCTACGAGACTGAGGCGGAATGTGTGTATCAGTGGCTCACAATTGTAGAGAACTTTTATATATTAAAACTTTTTATTATAGATAGAGGAATTATTAAATAAATCTGTTAAAATTAAAATATAGACAATCAAAATGTAATTAAGATAAAATACATGGAGCAACAAAATCGTTCGAAATATAGACATAAACATTAAATATCGTTTTGTACATGATATCATTAAAAATAAAATTGCATCTAAAGAATATTGCCTTACGAAAAATCAAATTGCAGACATTTTAACAAAACAATTTTAACAAACAACATTTTAACATTAATTACGAAATGACATAACCATGAAACATCCATACAGCACAGAAAGATTGTAGCAATGTTACAGCAACATTTCTATGCATGCTTGCAACATTGCAGCAACATTGCAAAATGTTTCCGCAACGTCGCTGCAACATTGCGGTAAAATATCTTTCTTTAGAAATATTGCGATACAATATTGCGGCAATATTCCAATATATTAAAATATATACAAAATTATTTTTAACATACAAAATATTAAAATATATTTAACAATACTTTGTAATGGTGTAATAATTGATATTTTCTATTTATACGAACAATTTGTGGGACATATATACAAATGCTAAACGTTGCAAAAATAATTACACAAATAAATTTGCAGTGCGTCATTATAATAAGGAATGTTTTTTCGTAAAATTGCGTATAATCGAAACAATATCTGTTAAAGTTAAAGTAAATCATCATGTATAATTACAATTACAATAGATTTCCACGTCACCCATGGGGTACTATTGTTGACGCGTTTTAGTGATTTCCCTTATAGGCCTATTCCACTAATACACTTTGCCGTGTATTACTTGCTACACGGCGATCTACTTGCTACATGCCGATGCCACGTACTATATGGATAATAAAAAAGTCAAGAGACATTCCGATAAAGAAATAAATATGAAACAGAGTTTATATATTGTAATATCGCTTACTGTCCGGTTATGTTCTCAGTGAACATAATTTGAAAAAAGATGCCTCAGATCGGCGCCAAATTGCAATAAAAGACCAGCAACAGCAAGATGACCATTTTTGCACGCGATTGTGAATGCCGTGTAAGATTCCTGGCTCTCCTCTCCTAGCATCTGATTGTGAGCGTGAGCATCCGCACCAGATTCCAGTAAATATTGAACAAGATCTAAGTATCCTTCCGCCGCAGCCTCCATCAGAGGGGTGTCTGTACCAAGCTCAATATCCGCTCCCGCCTTGATTAAAAGATCGGCTTTTCACAAGCCAGGACAAGCGTCGTTTCTTTAGTTTTTTTTTATTTTGAGCGTTGATGTCTACATCTTCATTCAAAAGTAAGATGACATATATATATATATTTTTTCTTCGTTATTCTCGTTATTCTCGCTTTTCTTTCATAGAGTAGGTACCTGTATAAAGAGAGAGTAGCACCAATGCTAATTGGTGCCTAATGCTAATTGATTCCGCCATTAGGGGTCCTTACTGTTAGTTAGAAAGAAGACAACGTTAAAGAAAGAAGAAGTTAAGATGAGGAATTGCGTTATACCGTCACCTCAGATGTAAGACACTATATGGCTGCTTGCGGCTAATTATCGCTACTCTCTTTATGTATACTCTATTTTTCCATACAGCGTTTTTCCGACACGTGTTTCGAAATCGGCCGCTTGAGTTTGACCTCTCTTTTTTACTCCGTGATCCTGAGTGGAAGAAATAGCGGTACCACGGAATAATAAGAAGGAGATCAAACTTCTGAGGAGTTCTGAAAGTGGGAAGACCCATGGAAAATCCAGCAGATATGATTTTAGTGCCATCACGCCTTGCGGGAAAAATTGAAAGTATTGATCATCACGTGATCACAGATCACACGTATGTATCTACTACACATATATACATACATACATTCATATATGTAGCCTGAGATCCATAGTCAATACTTACTTTTCCCGCAAAGCGCAATGGCATTAAAATCACATTTTCCGGATTATCCATAGGTTTTCCTACACCGTGTTTCGTGCCCATTTTTTTCATGACCGGCCGCTTGTGTTTGATCTCCTTCTTATGGTGCGATTGTAACATGTAGCGCAGTATTCGGTACGCGATACAGAAACTAACTAGGTAATTATAGATACCGCGCAAACCGTACCGCTTGCTTCTTTTCCTTTCTATTATATGAACCTCTTTTTTCTTTAACATTGTCTTCTTTCTAACAATAGTTTCTCTAATGGCGGAATCAATCAGCATTAGCCATCAATCATTATTGGCACTACTCTTTTTATATAGGTACATACTATATGGAAGAACAAATTCGAACGAAGAAAACTGTCGAAGAAAACTGTATCTGTATGTCAATTTAGAATTTTATAAATTATATTTTTTTTCCTATTTTCCTGTAATTCTGTAAATTTGTGTATTTTCATGCGCAGAATATATTTTGAGAAGGACAGTTGTCATTCAAGTCTCATTTTTATTCTTTTTAATTTCAAAGTTTTTTTATGTCGGTAAATTAAAAAACGATAATTTAATGATAATTTATAACTGTGCATAAATGTATGTATTTTTCACAAAATATTGATGCATTTATCATTTAATCAAATAAAATTAAATTTTATACAAATTGAAATTTCTGTATTAAAAATAAAACGTGCATACATGTGTATTCCGTACGCGTTTTCATGTAGTATATACTTCCAACATTTCCCGCAACGGCACTAAAATCGCATTGTCCCGATTTTCCATGGGTTTTCCGACATCATGTTTCGAGTCCATTTTCATCCTCAAGTTTGGTCTTTTTCTTTTTACTACGTGATCAGGACGCTCCCTTAGACATCGCCATTATTTCAGGTGCAGCGTAGCACAATCTGCGTAACGGCATTTTGTGTTTCAATAAATTTCTGCACAATTTTGCAATTTATCGACTTCTAACGATGAACGCTATAATGGATATAGAAGATTGCGATATCAAGATAAACTTCGATGGCACCCGCACTTCTTTGATGGAAGCTGCTAGTGCAGAACACGTGGATATCGTATCACGCTTGATTACTCACAGGGCCGACGTTAATACTCGATCTGCATCATGTAACACAGCTTACATATATGGATGCGCCGGTGGACACGAAGAAATTGTACGTGTCTTATTAGAGTCAGGTGCTGATGTTGAAGATCACAATGAAGACGGTAATACTCCTTTAATGGAAGCAGCAAGCGCCGGGCATGTAGATATTGTATCTCTGCTGAGTGCTCACGGAGCTGATGTTAATATTCAGTCAAACAACACATCTCTCATGTATGGATGCGTTAATGGACACGAAGAAGTTGTACGTATTTTATTAGATTAGGAAGTTGATATTGAGAATTACAGTGAAGACGGTCGTGCGCCTTTAATGGAAGCAGCAAGTATCGGGCGTGTAAATGTCGTTGCTGATAGCTCACGGAGCTGATGTTAATGCTCAATCTACATAAGGTGACACACCTCTCATCTACGGATGCGCCGGTGGACATGAAGAGTTTGTACGTGTGTTAATAAACTTTGGAGCCAATATCGAGTTTTACAATAAGATCGGTTGTACACCTCTAAAAGCAGAGCGCCGGGAATGTAGACGTCGTGTCTTTGTTAATTGCCCATGGAGCCGATGTTAATGCTCGATCTGCATCGTCTCATAACACATCTTTCATATACGGATACGCTGGTGGACACGAAAAAGTGATACGCGTCTTACTAGACTCGGGCGCCGACGTTGAGGATCATAATGAGAATGGCCATACACCTTGGAAGCAGCAAGCGCTGGGCATATTCATCTCGCCAAGGTCTTGCTTAAACATAAGAACGGCATCAATAAACGGTCTAATACATTTGAAAAGACACTATTGACGTTGGCCTGTTTTTACGACATTTAGAAATGGTCCGTTTATTGCTAGAAACTGACACGGATCAAGAGCATAAATCCGATGAGGTGCATATCGCTCTTATTGAGGCTTCAATAAACAGTCATATAAAAGTGGCTCGTTTACTTTTAGATTCAGCCCCCAAGTAACAATGACTAGTTCCGAGACATTATTAATGTTCGCTACTAGCAAAAACCTTGTGGATCTGGTTCTTGATCAAGAACAAACATCGAAAAAGTTAATGACGACGGTTATGCGTTGTTCGGCGTCCGGCGGATTCACACGACTCTTTTCTTTCGTAGAGATCTGGAATTCGTCGAAAAACTAAAATTTTATCTTCCTTCCTTTTTTTTTTCCTACCCCCTAAAAACTAAAACAAGGAACCCGGTATCTCCCCGTGAATGTTGCTCCGAGATAAAAATCAATAATAAATACGTATGGAAACCGTAAGACCGGCGCCAAGATGAACGGTCAAGTCGCGGACGATTCTCGCGAATCTGTAATCAAAATCTAAGAAACGGTATGCGACGTTTAGGGGTAGATTCTGGGTGGTCCCATGGCGACGATGCATGACCGCCTTCTTGACGCACGAGACGAGTTTTCCTATAAATCTTAAGATCATAAAATTTTGGAGGACCCTTTCCCATACTACAGATTCCTGTCAACATCCTTTCCTCCCCCAAAATCTTAACCAATCCAAGAGCAAAGGAAAATCCTACTACCAGCCAACGAGACCTATTCCACCAATCCAAATTTGAGTAATCTGGGGCGATTAGTATAAAAATCGCGGTTCCGCAACCCTTGCCGAAGATTTTCTCTAAGTTCTCGAGTTATACTTGTCGGGCGATAAGTTAGAAAAGCGGTCGCAATACTCAAAGTTGATAGAGTCAGTGAGTTTGTCGCGAAACTCAAAAAGTTCCATCTGATTTTCGAAGCCCTCTTTCTCCAGTAGAATGTTAAAGAAACATTACCAGCCTTGCACAACCTGGCCGGAAGACCTCCAATAGCATCTCAGTATATCTCTATTCTCTGGCTCCCTCCTCGCTTTATCTTTTGGTAATTTATTTCAATATTTCATTTTACTTTTTTTTTATTATTCATTTATTTTATTTTATTTTTATTCTTTTCTTTCTTTCTTTCTCCCTTTTGACCTCCTATAAGAAAATAAAAACATTGCAGTCTGTTCACGTTATAATTTCAATTTGTCGCCGTCGCCGCACGATAATTGTTCGCTTCCGGTAGTTCATGTCCGCTAACATTATCATCATCCGAGGAAAATTAGGTCAAACCCTCTCAAATCCACTCACCTCCTTCTCTTTTTATCCTCCCGCTATTCTCTCCGTAACTCCTCCTTCTATTCTACCATGATACTTTACACACACACTCTCACACATTTATAAATGCGTACATATAACTCAGAATAGAGAACCAAAAATTGTATTATTTTCTGTATTTACTTGACAAAATTGTATTTATTTTTTTTATTCAAAAAATGTATTACTCAAGTTTGCTTCTTTTAATTATATCATTACTAAATTAATTTCTCGGTAGTCATTATTTAAATACAATCTCTTCTCGTATTATTAAGCTCTCCCGCGATTACACTTCGCTCTCTCCCCGGTCACTTGGATTAAGTTCCATGGCCGAAAGTCAGGGCATACGGCCGTACTGGCGCAGCTGGCGTTAAAGTGCGCCTCTCTCGGTATATTGACCCAGTTTGGGCCCTTTTTGAATTACGTCCGATTCGTGTGTCCGTTTAGCGGAGCACGAGCAGAGGTTTCCACTTCGTCCTCCGTTCGACCCCCGTCTTATTAGGAGCCTCAGGAAGCGAAGCGCCTCCCGATTTGCGTCGGTCCTTTCCCACGGTCCTCTCTTGCGGTCCGGAGCCCGGACACGACCAAATCGGTCTAACGATTCGGTTCCCTGTTGCGTTCACCTCCTCAGCTCCGCATGCGCGCGGAGCTTAGACGTAACAGCGCCATTTGTCCAGAGGACAAGTGCGCGCGCGTGTATATATATTGTATATAGTATGTTGTAATCTTTTTAGATTTGACTTATGTAGTAATTTTTTTAGATTTTTAGTTATTAATTTATCTTGACAAAAATTTTTAGTAGTTGATGAAAATGTAACAATTTTAACGAAATATATTTTATATTGAATTTTTTTTCTTCTTTTTTTCTGTCTTTTTTTTATTATTTAATTCTTTATTTTACAATTTTAATAATGTTAACAGTTTTTAATTCTTATACAATATATAGACTGTCGGTGTTCGATATCATGGAAGTCAGATGTTCGCTATTTTTACAAATTTGCTTTAATTAAAAAATCAATGTGCGATATGGATTACCATCTATCTATGTTTTCTCTCTTTTTTATTAATGGACTCTCAACACTTTTAACGATATTGACTAAGTTCATGATTATATTATATATATCATTAATTCGCATGTATTAAGTATTAATGTATTATCCACGGTCACTTTTTTTAGAATATTGCTTTTCTGACTACTTTGAATTCTGATATAACTGACTCGCAAGGTACTACACGATTTAAAGAATGTAATATCATAGATATTTTCATAGCGATATTTGAATATTATCGCAACATTGAAAATGACTCGAGCGGAGTCGAAACTTTTGTTTGTCGTTTTGTAATTATTATATGAATTTTATGATTAAATTTAAATTAAGGTTTGTTACTACATTACTGGGTCTTTGCCTTTTTTTGTTATATACCCATATATTGTTTTATACTTACAGAGTCTTATTATGATTTATTTATCTTATACAATAATTTATTGCGGTTCTTATCGGTTTTATTTAACAACAATATACATGTGTTGTGTACTTTATAATTGCAAATTTGCCTTAATGTTTACTGTGTGATATCTTATTTCGAGAATAGTTCATATCTGTGTGGCACGTAGTCGTACACGGACATGTGTTCTAAAAATGTGTGATCTTTATATTTGATTATAATAATTCTACAATACTTTTTATATGTTCAACAAAGCTTCAGTGCATTGCTTCATGTTCCGTGATGGTAAGTCATTTAAATTGTTTACGCATATATCACTCTAAGATTTGTTTTTTAAAAAAATGTCAGATTAACAACGCTGCATCAATTTGCGAGTGACTTAAACATTATAAACATGTGAGCTAATTATACTTGTATCATTCTTGCTGAGGAGGACTCCAAAGAGAATCGAAACGTTCAAAATAAAGAAGACATCAATCCAATTTCTGATTATTGATTGTTCACTAAATAATTGCGCCGTTTATCGATGCTGATTTTCATTAGCCTATTATAGTGATTTTTTTTATTATTTTTATTGTTCAAAATTCGAGAGTCCTAATATAATTATTGTTATTTTATATATATATATATATATATATATATATATGTGTGTGTGTGTATTATATATATAATATAT